CTGGGTACCATGTAGAACAAAGAATTTCATCATCCTAAAAGTCCCCGTGTGCATCCCTGTTGGAGTCAAGTACTCTGTCCTCACCAAACCCTAGTAACCCTTGATTTTGTGCTTATAGTTTTGGCTTTTCTAGAATGTAAAGAAGGGAATCATACAATATGTACTTTCAGGGTCTGACAACTTTCTTTAGTTGAGTATACTTAATGTTCATTCATGCTGTTGCACAAATCAATAGTTCATTTATTTTTATCACTAAATAGTATTTGGCCATATATTTCACTACATAGAAAGGCTTTAACTCAGTTTATCCACTCTTCTGTTAGGGATATGTTGGTTGATTCAAAGTCTTTTTAGGTAATTATGAATGAAGTTTCACATACAGCTTTCTTGTGAATATAAAATTTCAATTTCAATGGATGCATACTTAGGAATACTATTGCTGATTTGTATGTTAAGTCTATTGAACTTTACAAGAATTTGTGAAGCTATCTTTCAAAGTGGCTTTGAAATTTGCATTCTCATCAACAATGAATGAAAGTTCATATTGTTACATACAGACATTTAAAAAATTATTTTTACGTACAGAAAACTCAACAGTATATAGTTAGTCCAGTTTAGTGATGAGTTCTTTAGACTTTGCCTTTTCCAGCTTGGAACACAAGCCACACAGTTTTGACCCAATGTATTGCCTCCCCAGTAACCATGAAGGTCATCATGTGTCATTGTAATTGGTCCTAATAGCTTCTATTAGTTTAGGCAGAGCACATTTGCCTTCCAGTTAAACAGCCTTATGGTGACAGTGTTGTACATATTCCTGATCTTCTGTGGGCTAGATGCCCCAGTCTGGTTCTCCCATTGGTTGATTCAGTAGGGAACTCCCATTTTATAATATCAGGCAGAAAAGAAGAAAACCATTCTGACAGGACCTACTTCATGTGCAATCACCAGAAGCTGAGACTTCTTAATCTCCACCAAGTTGATGACATCATATATAAAGGACAGGTGGTCTCTTAGTAGAGATAACTTCTTTGTCAACAGTTTTCTTTATAGCTAGGGTCAACAGTTCTGGCTTCTTTTCTTGCTTTGTCTCTTACTTGGTCTATACTTAAAAGTCCAGTTTGATAGTGGGTAGCTTTTGGCAATTCAGACTTGGGCGGATGAAGTGTTTAATTGCAGAAGGCACTATTAGCCTGCAGGCAAGGTCCCTTTGGGGCTGAGTGTACCATGCCATGCCCCAAATCTGAAGACTTTTCTCAAAGAGGATTTACCACCTTCTTGGTCTCTTGCTCCTTCACAATGTTAGGGCCCTGGACCACTTTCTTCCCTGGATCTTCTTTCCTTTGGCATACTGAGTCACTGTAGCCCTTTCCAGCATTTGGTATGGCTGAATATGTGTGTGTGTGTGTGTATATATATATATATATATATATATATATATATATATATATATATATTTAATTTTAGCAAAATAAGTATTCAATTACATTTTAATATGTGATGTTATAGATAAATATTTCTATGTGGTTGCTCTAAAACTAAATTACTTTTCATTTTTTTTATTTTTCCTTAAGAAGTTGCAGAATTTTTTTATTATGCAAGAAAATTTGAAAATTCACCAGGGTAATTATAAGTTTCCCTCACTCAACCTCTCATATTTTTTTCTTATATAAAAACTCAAATATTTCATAAGATCTGAAATGTTGGAAGTTCTGCTTTTCCCATACCCATAATAATCTGTAATGTAATCCCATGTAATATTCTGTTACATAACAGTTTAGATCATTTGCATTTCTTTTTTTCCACATATGTATATATGTTCATGTTTCTGATAGTTTCTGTTTCTTTGATTCTTGCTGTATGCTTTATGAAATTTTTCAGGGGAGTTCCTAAACCTCAATTTTTTAAAGTCAAGATTTCACTGAATTTACTGGATTTGAGCATTTTGTATATTTGTTTCTTTGCTTTCTGATAGTTCCTTTAACATATCAACCTTCAATTAATTGTGAAGACAATATACTACACACTAATTAGAATTTTTAAAATATCAATCTCATCTTTGGTTATATTTTGGAAGACATTGGCTCTGCATGTCCTGTAGACCACCATCGCTTTCTATTACTCATGATTTCTACATTGTTTGGTAACTTTTGGTTTATCTATTCATGTTCACAAGAGAAGGTCAGTTTTATCAAGATTAAAAACCAATAAAGCTTTCCTTTATTTGCAGAATACTACTGAGTTTCTTGTATAACTCCACGTGAACATATCGTCTTAGGAAATGTAGGAGGATGAGACTCAGCCAATAAACAAGTTTTGTTTTAGAATACAAATAAGTCTATTGGGCCTTTCTAAGTTGACTTGGTGTATTGTAAGATCAGAATCTTATACTCACTTATTATATTGCAATCTGTACCAAGTAAGAGATTTCAGAGGACAGATATTTTCATCCACATCTCCATATGAGGTTTTAGAAATGATCATATTATCTCCTCGGAAATGATTTCCAGCTGATTAAGTCTCAGCCTTCAGCCTTTGGTAGTGAAGTCTTCTTCTGAGTGGTTTTGTGTTGTTGGGCATTTTATAAGTAAAAAGAAGTAGAGAGAGAGGTTAAGAAGGTTGTCTTAGTTTCCTACAGCTACCCTGACAAATTATAGCAAAATGAGTGACTTAAAACAATAGTTACTCTCTCACAGTTAAGGAAGATAAAAGTTTAAAATTAAGATATCAGCAGGGTTGATTTCTTCTGGAGTCTTAGAAGGAGACTTCCCTGTGTTTCTCCTAGCTTCTCATGGGTGCCCATAATCCTCAGCATATTTTAGATTGCTGCATATCTCCCTTATCTGTGTTAATCTTCTCTCTCTCTCTCTCTCTCTCTCTCTCTCTCTCTCTCTCTCTGAGACAGGGTCTTGCTAAGTTGCTTAGAGACTCGCTAAATTACTGAAGCTGGCTTAGAACTTTTGATCCTCCTGCCTCAGCCTCCAAAGCTGCTGGGATGACAGGCATGCACCACTGCACCGTCTTCTCTTGATGGATTCCCCTGCATTCCTTTGTCTCTGTGTCCAAGTTTCCCTCTTCTTATATGGACTCCAGTAATATCAGGTTTATAAAGTATGGAATTCCAGTATGAACTCTTAAATTCATTCCATCTACAAAGATACTCTTTCTACAAGACTATTTCCAAAGTTTTACATGAACATAAATTCTGGGGAGATAATATTAACGTAAGTAACAACTGTCAAGGGATTGATTTCAGTGTTGTCTTTGAAAAGTACCAACTGGACAAGTCCTTTCCTTTATTTTTTTTAAAAAGAGAGAGAGAGAGAATTTTTTAATATTTATATTTTAGTTTTCGGTGGACACGACATCTTTATTTTATTTTTATGTGGTACTGAGGATCAAACCCAGCACCCCATACATGCCAGGCGAGCGTGCTACCGCTTGAGCCACATCCCCAGCCCCCTTTCCTTTATTAATGTTGGGTTAATCAAAACTTTAGGGAAGTCTGGTACAAGAGACTACATATTTCACAAATTGAATTCCATTCTTCCCTCCTTCCAACTGTCCAGGGTTACCCCAGGCTTGCTTCTCTACTTTTCTGAGATGGGAAGGAGCAACCATGAGCTTCTTCTTTTGCTTTAGTTGAGCGCTTGCTATGAACACTATAAACTTATTTGTGTATCTGACACATGATTTACTTAATGTGATTTAAAACTCCTTAAAGTTTTTGTTCCATCCTCTATAATCTCCTCTCTTTTCCTGCCCTTAGAGATATTTTATTTTTTTCTTCTTTCTTCTTTCTGTATTTCTTTGGTCATGCCCATAAAACTTTTTACACAAATGACAAAGAATTTTCAAGGTTTACTTTTAACATCTTCACAGACATTGAAGACAATCTCTTATTATGTGTTTCTAATCTTGTGCTTTTCACAGAACAGACATTCAAGGAATATTTTTATTTATTTATTTTTCTACATTTTATTGGTGCATTACAGTTGAACATCAAGGAATATTTTTAAATGGGTGTGTAATTACAGATACTAAATATGATTCCATCAGGAAATAGAGTTCTGAAGAGTAGAAAAATCTTTTTTGTGCCTCTGAAATCATGTAGTATGATTATGATGGATGGAGAAGAAGAGAAGGAAATATCAAACATATATCAAGCCCTGGAAGTCCCCTTCAAAACCATTTAGTTATCACAGCAATACTATGAGACTAGAATTTCTCCCATTTTTTTAAGAAGGAAGTAAATTTTCGAAGTCAATAGATTTTCACCAGGTCCATGTGCTACCTGAGTGATAGAATCAAGATTAAATCCAGGTATTTCTGGAAGTCTATGGCTTTCCTATTATACCTTCTTATTATTCCTTGTGAGGTCATTTTGGTTTTCCTTGGAATTTTCTTGATTCATTACATACTCTTGAGAAAAAAAAATATTCATTTTGTCACATATTACTCATCATATACCTAACTCTATGTAAATACTTATGTGATATTTGCAGATAATTATTTCTGTATCATCCAAGGCTAATCCTGACTTTAGAATTCAGAAATTCTTGTATTCAAGTATTCTGTGAGACCCAAGATAAAATCAGCACAGATTCACTCAGAGGCAGCAGAGCACTTATCATGTGACTTGGAATGAGGCCTCTGAGGATGTCCACACCTATCCTCTCCAAGTCACACATTTTTCATTAACTTTCATTCAATTCCCAGCCAGATTCTTCTTTAACAAACATTTGGCTGGTGTTTACTACATTCCGGGTATTGTCTGTATAGGTTCTGGAAACTTTAGGGAAAGTCATGATCAGGAAGGAGTCACCCTATTTTTTAGGAAGGATGAGATATTTATATTGTCATGGTAATACGCCATGACAATGGCAATGACCATTCTCTGGGTCAACTGCTTCACTTCCACAAGACTGAAATGTAAAAGTGGTATGAAGATGGAAGCAAGATGGTAAGAAGGGGATAAAGAGACGAAAAAGAAAAGTAAATACCTTGTTGACATGAGCTCGAAGCTGGTGACTTTCAATCAAGTGAGGAAGCTTTTTGGCAATTTCCATCCAAGGCCTGTAATGATCTGGAAGTTCCCTCTACATTTAAAATAAAAAAAAAATCTCAATATTTTAGAGCTTCCTGGGACATAGCTTCAGAGAGTAATTACTTTCAGATTTCAATCTTTTCGGGAATTCAAGTCCATTCAGTTCAACAAAGTGAGAATTTTCTATCTTTTAGGCCTTGTGCTAGACACTGAAGAAACCTAGATGCCTAAAGTATAATTCTTGTCCTTATATGGTCTAGTAAAGGAGAAAAAAATGTAATCAGATTGATCCAATGAAGTATAATATGTTTAATTACTAATGTGTGCATAAGCTTACAGATTTGCAAAGAAGTGAAACTGGTTAATTTTGTCAGTTATTGTGGAGAATTAAAAGAAAATGTTCATAGAAATGTGAAAGTTGAACCCAGTTTTGGAGTCTGAAGGTGACTTTTGCAGGTAGAAATTTGAAGGAAGTAAAGTAGTAAAGGTAGATGGGATAGCAGATAAACAAACATAAGCTTCTTGGGACTCCAAATTAATCAATGTTGCTAGATTGCAAAGCTCCAGAGAAAAGATTACTAGAATATGAGTCTAGAAATTTAGATAACCAATGATCTGGCATCCTTTTTTAGCACATAGCTTGTACAAATGAGTGTAGTATCTGTGGGTTCAAACAACAACAAAATAAAAATGACTTCTATTTTTATGAATTTGGAGGTTACATGAATGGGTGGAAACACAAGTTGAAATAGAAATGCAAGTGGAAATAAAAGAGTGGGCATAATAATAGTGAATTTATTGAGCTTAAACTATTTGTGGAATCTAAAAGTATAACTGTACTGAGAAATTCAGAGTTCTGTAGAAAGGTCATAGCAGAATATAACTGCAGGAAAAACCCCATGTAGTGGTTAAAACCACAAAAGTGTAAAGTCTTCCTGAAGATTTTGCAAATTATTTTTTTTTCTTTTTTTTTTTAATTTTTTATTGTTGGCTGTTCAAAACATTACATAGTTCTTGATATACCATATTTCACAATTTGATTCAAGTGGGTTATGAGCTCCCATTTTTACCCCATATACGGATTGCAGAATCACATCAGTTACACATCCATTGATTTACATATTGCCATACTAGTGTCTGTTGTATTCTGCTGCCTTTCCTATCCTCTACTATCCCCCCTCCCCTCCCCTCCGCTCCCCTCCCCTCTTCTCTCTCTGCCCCCTCTACTGACATTCGTTTGTCCCCCTTATATTATTTTTCCCCTTCCCCTCACTTCCTCTTGTATGTACTTTTGTATAACTCTGAGGGTCTCCTTCCATTTCCATGCATTTTCCCTTCTCTCTCCCTTTCCCTCCCACCTCTCTTCCCTGTTTAATGTTAATCTTTTTCTCATGCTCTTCGACCCTACTCTGTTCTTAGTTACTCTCCTTATATCAAAGAAGACATTTGGCATTTGTTTTTTGGGGATTGGCTAGCTTCACTTAACATAATCTGCTCTAATGCCATCCATTTCCCTGTAAATTCTATGATTTTGTCATTTTTAATGCAGAGTAATACTCCATTGTGTATAAATGCCACATTTTTTTTATCCATTAATCTATTGAAGGGCATCTGGGTTGGTTCCACAGTCTAGCTATTGTGAATTGTGCTGCTATGACCATCGATGTAGCAGTGTCCCTGTAGCATGCTCTTTTTAGGTCTTTAGGGAATAGACCGAGAAGGGGAATAGCTGGGTCAAATGGTGGCTCCATTCCCAGCTTTCCAAGAAATCTCCATACTGCTTTCCAAATTGGCTGCACCAATTTGCAGTCCCACCAGCAATGTACAAGTGTACCCTTTTCCCCACATCCTCACCAGCACTTGTTGTTGTTTGACTTCATAATGGCTGCCACTCTAACTGGAGTGAGATGGTATCTTAGGGTGGTTTTGATTTGCATTTCTCTGACTGCTAGAGATGGTGAGCATTTTTTCATGTACTTGTTGATTGATTGTATGTCCTCCTCTGAGAAGTGTCTGTTCAGGTCCTTGGCCCATTTGTTGATTGGGTTGTTTGTTCTCTTATTGTCTAATTTTTTGAGTTCTTTGTATACTCTCTTTATTAGGGCTCTATCTGAATTGTGAGGAGTAAAGATTTGTTCCCAGGATGTAGGCTCTCTATTTACCTCTCTTATTGTATCTTTTGCTGAGAAAAAAACTTTTTAGTTTGAGTAAGTCCCATTTGTTGATTCTAGTTATTAACTTTTGTGCTATGGGTGTCCTATTGAGGAATTTGGAGCCCGACCCCACCGAATGTAGATCGTAGCCAACTTTTTCTTCTATCAGACGCCGTGTCTCTGATTTGATATCAAGCTCCTTGATCCATTTTGAATTAACTTTTGTGCATGGCGAGAGAAAGGGATTCAGTTTCATTTTGTTGCATATGGATTTCCAGTTTTCCCAGCACCATTTGTTGAAGATGCTATCCTTCCTCCATTGCATGCTTTTAGCCCCTTTATCAAATATAAGATAGTTGTAGTTTTGTGGATTGGTTTCTGTGTCCTCTATTCTGTACCATTGGTCCACCCGCCTGTTTTGGTACCAGTACCATGCTGTTTTTGTTACTATTGCTCTGTAGTATAGTTTGAAGTCTGGTATCGCTATACCGCCTGATTCACACTTCCTGCTTAGCATTGTTTTTGCTATTCTGGGTCTTTTATTTTTCCATATGAATTTCATGATTGCTTTCTCTATTTCTACAAGAAATGCCGTTGGGATTTTGATTGGCATTGCATTAAACCTATAGAGAACTTTTGGTAATATCGCCATTTTGATGATGTTAGTTCTGCCTATCCATGAACAGGGTATATTTTTCCATCTTCTAAGATCTTCTTCTATTTCTCTCTTTAGGGTTCTGTAGTTTTCATTGTATAAGTCTTTCACCTCTTTTGTTAGGTTGATTCCCAAGTATTTTATTTTTTTTGAAGATATTGTGAATGGAGTGGTTGTCCTCATTTCCATTTCAGAGGATTTGTCGCTGATATACAGGAATGCCTTTGATTTATGTGTGTTGATTTTATATCCTGCCACTTTGCTGAATTCATTTATTAGCTCTAATAGTTTCTTTGTAGAGCCTTTTGGGTCTGCTAGGTATAGAATCATGTCATCTGCAAATAGTGATAATTTAAGTTCTTCTTTTCCTATTTTGATGCCTTTAATTTCTTTCGTCTGTCTAATTGCTCTGGCCAGTGTTTCGAGAACTATGTTGAACAGAAGTGGTGAGAGAGGGCATCCCTGTCTTGTTCCAGATTTTAGAGGGAATGCCTTCAATTTTTCTCCATTCAGAATGATGCTAGCCTGAGGCTTAGCATAGATTGCTTTTACAATATTGAGGTATGTTCCTGTTATCCCTAGTTTTTCCAGAGTTTTGAACATAAAGGGATGCTGTACTTTGTCGAATGCTTTTTCCGCATCTATCGAGATGATCATATGGTTCTTATTTTTAAATCTATTGATGTGGTGAATAACATTTATTGATTTCCGTATATTGAACCAGCCTTGCATCCCAGGGATGAATCCTACTTGATCATGGTGCACAATTTTTTTGATATGTTTTTGTATCCGATTCGCCAGAATTTTATTGAGGATTTTTGCATCTAGGTTCATTAGAGATATTGGTCTGTAGTTTTCTTTCTTTGAAGTGTCTTTGTCTGGTTTAGGTATCAGGGTGATGTTGGCCTCATAGAATGAATTTGGAAGTTCTCCCTCTTTTTCTATTTCCCGAAGTAGCTTGAAAAGTATTGGTATTAGTTCCTCTTTAAAGGTTTTGTAAAACTCTGCTGTATACCTATCCGGTCCTGGGCTTTTCTTAGTTGGTAGTCTTTTGATGGTTTCTTCTATTTCCTCAATTGATATTGGTCTGTTTAGGTTGTCTATATCCTCCTGACTCAATCTGGGCAGATCATATGACTTAAGAAATTTATCTATGCCTTCACTATCTTCTAATTTATTGGAGTATACGGATTCAAAATAATTTTTGATTATCTTCTGTATTTCTGATGTGTCTGTTGTGATATTGCCTCTTTCATCCCGTATGTTAGTAATTTGAGTTCTCTCTCTTCTTCTCTTCGCTGGCATGGCTAAGGGTCTGTCGATTTTGTTTATTTTTTCAAAGAACCAACTTTTAGTTTTGTCAATTTTTTCAATTGTTTCTTTTGTTTCGATTTCATTAATTTCATCTCTGATTTTAATTATTTCTTGCCTTCTACTTCTTTTGCTGTTGTTTTGCTCTTCTTTTTCTAGGATTTTGAGATGAAGTATGAGATCATTTATTTGTTGGTTTTTTCTTTTTTTAAGGAATGAACTCCAAGCAATGAATTTTGCTCTTAGAACTGCTTTCAATGTGTCCCATAGATTCCGATATGTTGTGTCTGTGTTTTCATTAATCTCTAAGAATTTTTTAATTTCTTCCTTGATGTCTTCTATAACCCATTGATCATTCAGTAACCTATTGTTCATTCTCCAAGTGATGTATTCTTTTTCCTTCCTTCTTTTATCGTTGATTTTCAGTTCCATTCCATTATGATCAGATAGGATGCATGGTATTATCTCTACTCCTTTATATTGTCTAAGAGTTTCCCTGTGACATAATATATGATCTATTTTTGAGAAGGATCCATGTGCTGCTGAGAAAAAAGTGTAACTGCTTGATGTTGGGTGGTATATTCTATATATGTCAATTAAGTCTAGGTTATTATTTGTGTTATTGAGTTCTATAGTTTCCTTATTCAACTTTTGTTTGGAAGATCTGTCCAGTGGTGATAGAGGTGTGTTGAAGTCTCCCATGATTATTGTATGGTGGTCTATTAGACTCTTGAACTTGAGAAGAGTTTGTTTGATGAACATAGCTGCACCATTGTTTGGGGCATATATATTTATGATTGTTATGTTTTTTTGGTGTATGGTTCCCTTGAGCAGTATGTAGTGTCCCTCTTTATCCCTTTTGATTAACTTTGGCTTGAAATCTATTTTATTTGATATGAGTATGGATACTCCTGCTTGTTTCCGAAGTCCATA